CTGGTCGCAAACAATCGAGCAAGACATGAAAGCTCTAAATTTAAATGAAATGGATACAACTGATCGTCTAATTTGGCGCAAAAAGTTGATGGCAAAGAAAACAACGTCCTACCTCGGGAAACTGGGTCTCTAGACGCTAAATGAAGATTGATTGATTTTTTCTTAAATTTTGACGAGGGAACAAAGATCTGTGGTAGTGTTGCTTTTTTTTGTAATCAGGTCAATTATTTGTAGATTTTCTACATAACCAGTGTTTTTTCTGTGCAAAAAATGAGTTTTACAGACTTTTAATAACAATACTACTCAAAAACGAGTCCAGATACGCCACTGTGAACATCAAACCTACCATCATCTGCTTTCACCATCATTCTTTGTATAACACTACATTAATACTAGCCATCCCTTTGAATAAAACGTTTTCTCTATATTACTAAGTTGTCGACCAAATACTACAAACACTAAAAATCAAAATAGCTCAAGTTTAAAAAAAACTAACGTTGACAAGATTTATTAACTTTCTTCTCAGAGTTAAAAAGTTGACCTCAGATTGGAGTTCTTCCAAGGCTGAATTCAGTTGAAACAGGAAATTAGAAAATGTGTGCAGTTGCTGATTCTGTTTCTTCAGATGATCTAATAAAAAAAGTTTTATCAAAAAAATAATAACGTTTTTAGATAGTAGTGATATGATCTAATAAATTAAATATCAATATTCAATTAAAAAGCAGAAAAGATATTAACTTTGTGTACAACTAATACATTTTTTTGAATCGTATGTTATGTTTCTATTAAAATTATTAATTTAATAAAATCTGTTGACTGTATAAGTGTATAGTATAGTGTAGTGCATAAGAGATGTAATGGTGTGAGGGGGGCACTGAAAAAGGTGGAAGGCACGTTCAAATGTAAGAAATGTGTTCATGGTGTGATTAATAGGACGGACGCAAGGACGGGGTTGAGTGGTGGTATTGAAAGAGTGGAAAGCTTTGTTTACTTAGGGGATAAGCTGAACGCGGATGGAGGATGTTTAAGCGCTGTTACGGCTAGAGTTCGTGTAGGATGGATGAAATTTAGGGAAATGGGTGGGGTATTGTGTTGGAAAGAAATGGTCAGTGAAGATGAAAGGGAGGGTGTATAAAGCATGTATGAGAGCAGCGATGGTATATGGTGGTGAAACTTGGGTGTTGAGGAGAGAGAAGGAAAGTGTACTGCAGAGGGCTGAAAAAGCTATGGTGAGGATGATGTGTGGGGTTAAAGTGAAGGATAGGAGGAGTAGTACAGAGCTGATGTCAATGATGGGACTGAATGAGGACATTGTGACACTGATAAAGAGATCGAGATTGCGGTGGTATGGACATGTGTTGAGAAGGGATGAAAGGGTCGGGATTAGGCGAGCGTTGGAGTTCGAGGTTGAAGGAGTGGTAGGAAGGGGTCGTCCGCGATTGGGATAGAGAGAGCAGGTGCAGAAGGACAGGGTGAAAGCGGGGTTGCGTGATACTGAGGCGAGTGACAGATGTTAATGGCGTCGAGGGGTATTTCGGTTTCATCATAGGTAGCCAAACGGCAACCCCCGATCTCGGGGAAAATGTCGTCTAAACGTGTGTTGTTGTTGTTTTGTATAAGTGTATAATCTACCATTAATTTCAATTACACAAGTAGCTGATTTGATTTTGCAATCAAAAACTTTCTGTTGCAAAAAGATGCTGCATAAATATAATCAATTAGTTATTTCTAATAGTTAATTTTTTCAACATTTTGCTCTGATATTTTTCACCAAAACTTTTTCTAATTTTTAAATATTTTTGTTTTCAACAAATTCATCCCTTTTTTTACTACAATACAAAATTGTTGGCCTGTCCTTAGTCTCTTTTAGTGGAAATGAACTGGTTTCATGCATACTTTTTCTAATTTATTAACACTCCGCATTCATATCTTCATAAATAAAGCCAACAACCAAATTAAACAGACTGTTCTTGTAGTTAAAATAAGTTGTTATGCCTTAGTTTTCTTTATCAGCCAATTTTTTTTCTCCTTAAAAAAAATCTTAAAAACTCAAAATTATCAAGAAGAGGATATAATTTTCTGATTCTCACAAACTAATAAACTAAAAATTGTAACTATATTGCAACACCAATGACATAACACTAATAATTGATTTGTAATCTTTATTTCCCAATAAACCTGAGAAAACATCAAAAATCACAAACTCTTTGTCAAATCACAAATAAAATGACACATTAAAGTTAACAAAATTGAAAACAAAATGAAATATGAATGAATCAAACAACTCCCTTAAATTAACCATGCACTCACCTTTAAGAACAAGATGGTGGAATGGAATATTATAAAAACAGGATGCACGGGATGGTGCCATGTAACCAAAAGGTTCCATCAATGGAAGCGATGGTGAAAGTGATAATGATTTAAATGAATTCTTGTGAGGCAGTTCAAGAAGAGATGAATATAGTGACAGTGAAGAAGATAGTTGCGAAGAATTTATAAAAGGGTTGTTGGGGACAGTGGAAGAGGTAACGTTGTTTAAAGGTAATAAATGAAAATTGAATAACAAATTGCAATTTCTGTGTGATGGTTGGTGAGAAGATTGATTCAAACCATATGGACTAAAAACACCATTGAAATAACTAGGGGTAACATTTTGAACACTGTTATAAAGAAATGAATGATTACTGGAAGTATTTGACATGAATGCATTCGAGTTGTTTGGATAAATATGATCGAGAGTTACATCAAATTGTTTGTTTGGCTGATTCATCTCATGTAAAAATTCAGCTTCAGGATGATGCTGATGAAAAACGTTGTTTGGTATAGGAACTGTGTTCAAAACTGTTTGATTTAATTTTGTATTGCTGTTGTTACCACCACCATTACTTACGTTATGATTGATATGACCATTCATTGCATACATGAAAACTGGATTTAGAATCAGACACCTAAAAAACGAATTATGCAAATAACTAAAATATGAAATTGATTAAAACAAAATGAAAATATTCTATATTTACTGAATAAATGTTTACAAAACATTACTTATTTTCATTTTGCAATAAATTATTTTAAAATAGAAAGAGAATCACAACTAAAGTATTGATTCAATATTACTAACAAAAAAATTGTTCAGCTTTGTTTTAATTAGCTGTTGTTAAATATAAATTATAAATGTTTTATTTATAATTATATATGACACTATCATAAAATTGTATGAACCTTCTTAGTTGCCTGTCCGACTTTGTTTTTATTAATATTTTAATTTAAAACTGTGGCAGTGGCTAAATAATGAATACCAAAGTTTAATTTATATTTTATATAAGTCAGTTTCATAAAATTTTATGGTAATCTCGGAGACGGCAAAGTGGTTTTTCCAGAAATAATTATTTATAGTCAACAGTTTAAAGAGACTCATAAGCTCCACCCACGGTGCAACTAATAAACTAAATACAGCCTGCATGTTCGTTGGTTAGCGACAGTATAATGTAAACAGCCGAAATACTAAAAAAAGGAAAACTCTTTTTTGAGTAATTATTTTTAAAATGTTATTGAATGTTAAAAAAATAAATAAAATGTAAAACGCTTGACAATGCAATCTACCCTTAAACGATTTTGAATCAAAATATAACCTGAATTTTATGCTTTGTACCATATAATTAGAATAAATATAACGGCCTTCGCTCATTTTTGACGGTCGAACAAGGAGCTTACTTCCGGAGGAAAATTGGAGGGTGATTTTTTATCGCCCAAGTCAAAAGTTACGATCGTATATTTACTAATTTCGGAATATTGCTTTTATTTGAAATTTCAAAATGTTTTAAAAGGTGATACTAGATGCTGTTTTGGGATAGATATTGCTGTATGACGGTTAAGTATCTTTTTGCATTTTAAATAAAAAAAATTTTTTGTGAACCACCAACAACACAACAACACTAAACGACGACTAATTAGTAATTAAATTACTAAACTCTAATAATTAAACTAAAACTAATCTCTACCGATTCTAATTACTAACTGAAATAAATAACAGATAACACTAACGAACATTAACAGATTAGACTACTAGAAACTACCAACCACTACACTAATACATACTACTACTACACTAACGGCTAACAGCACTTGTTCCTAAGATCCTAAATTCTATTGCTTGATTGGTTTTAAAATTTTTATTTACAATGCTTAGGTCTGGGAATAAAAAATATACTAAATTAAATAAATATATTAAACAACTTACCAATCAATTTTATAAAATAAACAATTTTGTAATTTGTTCAATTCAAGCTTCAAACTCCCCAAGCTAACTTGCAATTTAATTAAAATTTATTAATTATGAGTGATTCAAACTAAATTTTTATTTAATGTTTTACAAAATATTCCTCATTCTTAAATTGTAGTACATGTTGTTATTAAATTTATTAAAGATAATGTGTGATTCCAGTGATTCATCAATCCATGACTTGTTAGATCATGATCATTCAGTTTTAAAGAATCCCCATAACCAGTGAGGTTTGTAAAAATTGTACTTATAATTTATTATATTTTATGCACTTAAAATGTTGTGTTATTAGTTATTATCATTAATTTATTAAATGCTCTGCATACCTATAGCAAGTAAATAAAATAATTAAGCATAGAAATAACCACAATCAAATTAATTTATATAGGCATGAGTGTAATTTGGATAATAATAATTAAAAATATCGGTATCATTGAAAATGGATAAAGTCATAAATAAAAAAATAAATCATAAATTGCTAAAAATAATAGTTCCAGTAAGATTTTGCCTTACACCTACATCTTTTTTTCATTCTTATATTATAATAAATGTTTGTTATCAAATATATCAAGGATTGATTTCTCATTCCATGACTAGATTGAATGTCATGACCCTACAGTTCCAGAGGATGGATCCCCATCACCATTAGTCAATAAGGTTTGTAGAAATCACCCCAGGCATACCATCAATGTTTTGTAGCCACCTTTTAATGTAGTGTTAATAAAATGACATTGAGAATAGTTATTTAAAACAATCTTATTAAAATTATTGAACAGGTATGACAAGATTACTTTCTTAATGTCCTAGTGTGAGGAAGATGTAAGCCATTTGTCCAAAGATAATTATATGCCTTATGCCCATACAAATGCAGTGTCAACGCGAATGATTTTTGATCAGAGTCATATGTTCTAATTTTTTTAAACTTTTCCAGAAATTTTTCTGTTAATTTATTTGTTACATTAAATACTTGACGTGTATTTCATATAAAAACTTGATTATGCCAATTTAGTTAACTTGTTAAGCATTAATATAAAATTGACTCTACTTGTAATGGTGATTGGTATGATGATGATGATCCCAGTCCTAAACAGGGTTTATTATTCACAATGTCATTATGCCCTTTCTAAGTTTTAATCAAATACATGGAATATTGGTGAATGCATTTTATATTTTTTGTATAGATAATGTTGCAATGTACAATGATGATGTGAATTGCTTCCTTGTGTGACTGATGACATATAAATATAACTAACTTGAAAACATGGGAATGCTTTCTTCAGCACTTTCTCCATCATAACCCTTATAATCTTTATTACAGAAATGGTCACTGCATATTCTTGCATTTTTTGATGGAAGCCATTTGAAATCATTTATTTCCTGTCTGATGCACTTATTCCAATCGTTTTGCATTTTTACATTTTGAGGAAATCTGAAATTTTATAAACTGTTACAGAAACTTGTGCATTTCTTAAGTTTTGCTTTTAATAATAAAATGGTAATCCATGATAGCATTATAAATTATAATAGTCTATAAAATAAAATATATGTAATTGTAAAACAAAATAGTTCTATTCAACGAGTATAGGGATATTGTTACATTTATTTTAGTGTGAAGTCAATTTGAAAATAAACCTGTGAAAAGATGCATCAGAAATTTTCTCATTTCTATTTATTATTAATGCAATTTTTAATGCAACAGGTAGGCATGTTTGTGTATAGCTACGAAAATGAAAATTTACTTAAAAACTAAATTATTGTATCTGACACGAAAATTAGTACAGAAACAAAAACGAAAGAATAAATGACAATATAAAAATTTAAACATTGATTGAAAGAGTTTATTCTAATTATATGGTATGGGCAATTCGTTGCGAAATCGTTGGAGGAAATGGTGTCAACAGTAGTTATTTTACTGCATGGTAGTTAGTCAGCCGGTATAAAGGTTATATTCAATTCCTATCAAATAAATTTGGCAAAATATACACAGGCAGAACTAAATAAAGAAATAGACATGTAGTTATAATACATTTATAATGTTGTATTTACACATTCAAATTGTACAATTGTGTTATGGTGTAGTCTCAAATTATTTTAAATTCTCTCAGAAAATTTTAAACGTTTTACTACACTATATATACTAGTTATTTTTATCAACAATTTAAAATTTTTATCAATAATTAAAAAAAAATTTCAAATTGATTTCATTGCGATATCACTAATGATTTTTGTGACCTGACTGATTAAAAAGCATCAAAGAAAGTTAAAATAGGATGGAGAATTTGTTATATTGGAATATTCGTTTAAAAAGCGAGCAAAATTTTAATATAAAAGCGCTTATAAATCTATGCATATTGGCTCAGCTTGGCTTGGCTCGGCTTGGAATCGGATGTTAAGCAAGGTGTGGTCTTAAACTATTTTGAATTCTCCCCGAAAAATTTGAACTGCGTGCGTACATATATAGTAATGGTTACTGTTGTTTTTTATAATGAATTTATGCATATTGGCTCAGCTTGGCTTGGCTCGGCTTGGAATTGGATGTTAAGCAAGGTGTGGTCTCAAACAATTTTGAATTCTCCCCGAAAAATTTGAGCTGCGTGCTTACATATATAGCACTGATTACTGTTGCTTTTATAATGAATTTTTATTATATATATATATATAAAGTGACTGAAGTCAAGTATACAAATAATTAAATTATATTATATTAGATTATGTTTATATGAAAAGCAATATAGCAGATTCAACCAGCCAACCAGAAAGTTTCGAAGGCGTTCGTTCGATGACTTCAATTTAGTACGGTTAGCATTTTGGTTAAGACTGTATAATGGTGTAGTACATACATTAAATAAGTTTTTTATTGATGTGAATGATTGAAATGATGAAAATGTATGGTTGAAACGAGTATAAATAGGAGCTGAAAAAACGTTGAAATCAGATCAGGCATTTCTGCCTCGCTCGAGTCGGAGTGCCTGATCTCATTTTTTTATATTTATATTTTTTTAATTAATTTATTTTTATTTAATTTTATTTTATATAGAGTTATATAGAGTTTGCATGTCTGTGGTTTGTGTGTTTGTATGTTGTATTTT